CGAAAACCGATACTACACCATTTAACTGCCATTCAAATTATTAGCACTATGACTACTCCTAGTACTACTACTACTACTACTACTACTACTACTACTACTACTACTACTACTACTACTACACTACTACTACACTACTACTACTGCTACTACTACTACTACTACTACTACTACTACTTCTACTTCTACTTCTACTACTACTACTACTACTACTACTGCTACTACTACTTATTACTACTACTGTTACTACTACTGCTACGACTACGACTACGACTACGACTACGACTACGACTACTACTAGTACTACGACTACTACTACTTCTACTACTACTACTACTACTACTACTACCACTACTGCTACTACTGCTACTACTACTACTACTACTAGTACTACCAGTACTCTTGCTACTACTACTACTACTACTACGACGACGACGACGACGAGTTCCTCGGTTGTTGTTGCTGCTACGTCATGATTTTTTGACTACAATGCAGCCCCTCAACTCCCTGCAACCTGGAGCCCACATCAGATAGGTCCCAACAATAGTACGGCACCTTCAACAGAAGGACACGAAAAGGGACCCAAAATTAGAGAACTACCCACATCATGACGCAGCTCTGAGGCAGGCCGAGAGCACAGAGAGCCCAAAAGGAGAGGCCCAGGGCAAAGACGGTGGCGATGACAAGCCTGAGGCTTAGGGCTTAGGGTTTAGGCTTCATGGTTCCGAGGCTGTTGCTGTTTCAGATCATATGCTTCTTGTATGACAGACAGAGAATAGCAATGACAGCGACCTTACATAGTAATAGCAGTCGCCATATGACAGTTGTGCCTACGATGTTTGGTCCTCAAAAGTGGTGCGATGGTTTTTACATCGTCTGTCCTAATTTGCAGGGCTCCGCGAGTGTGGAAGCCTCCGCTTCATGAGATGCCCGAAAGCAACAAGATGAACGACCGGCACTGTGCGGCAGATTGAATGACGTTGTACAAAGTCTTCCTTACAGCTTATGTCCCACAGACACTTACCGAAGATTCATGAGCAAACCATTCGGAGAAGCTTAGGATCGAGATGGATCGAATGTTCCCCCAGTGAGTTCAACATGCGTGCGTTTGGTGTTTTGGGATCCTGGCAATTGTTCGGGGTTGAGATTCGTTATGAAACCGGATGCCCCCTAGTCTGTGTTCGATTGCGATTGGTCAGAGCACAGTCGCAGTCGGAAGTCAGGTGTTCGATGTCGTGCAGCGCTGGGCCCTTCCTAGGCAGCTGATGCAAAGCCCAGGAAAGTATGGCCAGGCGGCGTCGCCATCTTGTTCCTCTGCGCCACGGAGATCATCCTGGGCCAGCGCGCAAGGCTGAAAGGAAACACACGCGGATGTTCAAACTTTCGGGGGTTCGGGGTGAGCTTCGACTGAGGATGGATTTCACAGACGGTATCGTGAACGTAGGTTGTCGAACACCAACATGGCAAGATGGAGATCCAAATCTCTCAGAAACCTGTCCCATGCGTTCCAATCGCCCAAGTATAGCCTCGTGCTCTTTTTTAAACTTCTGATCGTGTACTCAAGCCGCGTCTGCATATTTACTGACATCCCTCGTTTGCCTGTTTGGGCTCCACTCCGCGTTTGCTCCGAAACCCTTTTGTCTGTTTGGCTGGTCTAGCATTCAAGACTTTGTCACACGCCCTGCAAACTTATGGAAAACTCGCTTCTTGCCGGATTGCATGTTTTGCCCGACATCCTCTCCATTTTTTCTGGAAGAGCCTGTAGAACGTCTCCTCGCATATAACCTCTGCATATTTGCCCAAAGTTCTCCTTTATATCCTGGGCTGCGGCGGGGAAAGAGGGTGTCTCGGGCTGCGTTTGCGAAAGTTGAAATGGACACCGAGCAACATTTCAAACAGAACGAAGTATGCCAAAACAATCGAAAATGACAGACAAGTTCACGACATGAGAATCCCCAACTTGACTAGAATGCCTGGTCGGTCTTCAGGGAGTCAGATCACTCCACTGACCGTGGATCGTGCTCCAAACATCTAGGCAGTTCTCTAAATGAGGGTCCCTTTTCGCGTCCTTTTTGTAATTGGGCCGTACTCGTTTGCGGCCCTGAACGGGAACCCTGACTTCGAGAACTACCCATATAGAACCCTTCTAACACCCCTATAAAAGCCCTATAGAAACCATTCTAGATCCCTATAACCTTAAACCCTATAAGTTAATCCTACACCCTAAACCCTAAACCCTATGACCCTATAACCCTATAGCCTTAAACCCTAAACCCTAAAACCCCCTAAACCCTAAACCCCCTAAGACCCTAAGACCCGAATGACCCCAAGCAGCAGCCCAGGCACCGGTCCAGGGAGCGCCTGGCCGAGGTCAACTCTGAGTCGATGGTCCGGACATTGCCGCCTGCACTGGGTTGCTGTTGAGGAAGGTTTAGGGTTTAGGGTTCTAGGGTTTGGGGTTCAGGATTTTAGGGTTTAGGGTTCAGGATTTAGGGTTTAGTGTTTAGGGTTTAGGAATTGACTTACTACTTTGGGTGTATATAAAAATATGTATGTATGTGTATATATATATATAGATAGATACATCTATTGTCTAACATACACCAAAACCTTAGTCTAGGCTATTACTTAACATAACACGTTAAGTCATAAACTAGGATAAGGTTCTGGTATATGTTAGACAATAAATACCATATGGATACCCTATTATGTACCATATATCTCCATGACGATAACTCACACTAAGTTCCTTACTGTAACAGCAACCCAGTCTAGGGACATGGGGGGGTTTGGGCTTCTTGGCTTGAAGCCGGGAGGTTCGGTCAAAAAATATTAAGGTGGATTATAGGGATTGCACAAACTTTATAGTCTTGTTATGGCAACGTATAGTATTATCGGTAATCTACTTACTCCCTGCTCCCTGAATCTTGGTTCGGAAACGGCTTGCAGTGGCCCAGAGCGAAGATACCAACTCACCTCTCGTCTGGCCAAGGTACGTACACTCATGATGGTCTCACGCTGGGCGGCGAGGTCATTCAGAACACCCTGGCTGACCTCAGGGAGGTGAAGAGAGTCAGATGCGACAACGCCCTCAGTCAGAGATTAAACGGGCGTGGATGTCCTGAGCGAATGCATGTTCCCGAATTCAGCCTGTTTTGAAGTATGCAGTAGGTGCCGTCGCAACAACCGCAAGTTATTGCAAACCGTGGTGCATGAAACGACTCCGTTTGCTGACGCAGACACCGACGTCTCATTCCTCTACCCAATGTTAGCACGCCCTGTGCCCTCTAAAATCGCACATCACGAAGCTTTCAATCCCTCCAACACCAAACACCGAACCTACACCTCTCAAACACTCAGCCTCCTCGGTTTCCAGGGCCACGCGTTTGGCATCCGCCAGTTTCGCAGAGCTCCTTTTGCAAGTCTAGAGCAACCAAAGGCCGCGAGTAGCACCCAGTGAAGGTATCCGCGATTGGACTCTTCTGCACTGTGGATCCAAACTCGCTAGTAGTGGTACGAAGGCATTTCACCAGCACTACTCAACCTAGTGTTTGCCTTCAAATGTCCGCATCGCTTGAGAGCTCATTGTTTCTGAGAGACCATGTCCCTGGATGATCCCCCATCTTGACCATTAACGAGCATCCAGGATCCACACTTCAACCGCACCGCTTCACTGATTCACTGGAGAGGCCGCGGATGGGCTAAAGCCCGAAGCTATCTGAGCTTGGAGGTACTTGGAGGTTCATGGGTAGTTATAAGTGGAGTTATTTGTCCCCTAATATGGGCCAAGTATGGTTCATGATTGCGACACCTCTGCACACCGGTGCCATCCCGCGCCTGTCCATGAGCTCCGTGGCCTGCAGAGCCCCGGCGCGCTCGAAGCCACCGGCAGTAGAGCCGAGGTTTAGGGACCTGGCTCGGGGTTTGCAGGCAGGGGGGGTTTAGGGTTTAGGGTTTAGGGTTTAGGGTGGGGCTCTTACTGCAGATTTGCAGGCAATGTCGGTCTTTTTTTTCATTCTGCCTGAACGTCTGGCAGAGTCTGGGTGACTAGGGCTTCGGCGTCATCTCTTCCCCTGTTCTCATCTAGGATACCACTTACAACATCACAGAGCACGAAGCCTGTCATTCGCACCTGCTCCGCTGGCCACATCAACTGCGCAGTCCACCTCCTACAGTAGCTCATTACCCTTTAGCACAGCAACACCACGGCACAGCGGGCAGGCGGTGAACGTGTACAATCGTGGGATAACTATGCACTCTGCTGCAGTGTTGTTGGCAACAGCCAACACTCGAAGTCTCGAAGATCACAGCTAGGGTGCCCATACAAGGTTTCAACCTACAGACAGCAGCAGAAGGAAAGTTGATTCCCACGCATCACATCGAGCGACACTTGTCGCAAGCATGTCAGTCTTCTGTTGCCTCGACCACGAAAACTGGGCCGAAGCATTCATCGCCACTGCCAAGAACCCAAGCAGAGCGGCCTGTGGCAGCCTCCAGCTCCATGCTGATCTGGATCACCTCGCCGGCATCGACGCGGCCCAGCGGCAAGGAGGCGCAGCCGAAGCCGGAGCCCAGGCAGCACTTGAGGCAGCAGTCCTCGGGCCAGGCCAGGGTGCCCTCGTTTTGGACCAGGAGCTGCACCACCCAAGGACCCTTCTTCAGGGACACCTGGCCCAAGGAGACGAAGCCTGGGCCCTCGGTCTGAGAGCACAGGCTCTCCAAGTGCTTCGGGTAGGTCACCTCGGCATCTCCCACAAGGTGCTCGTGCATCAGGTGGGCCGCGGACATGGACCCAACGGAGGAGGCAGGAGGAGTTGGAGATGTCGAGGAGGAAGCCTGGGGCGCCTCCTGCTCCGGCTCTGAGACCAGGGTGAAGCTCTCCGCCTCCTCGACCATCCAGTCCATGAAGGGGAAGTCGCTCACGTGGAACTCGGCCGTCAGCACCTCCCCAAAGTCCGGCTGCGAGGGGCTGGTGACGGCCCACATGGCACGGAAGCAGCCCTCCTTCTCGGGCATCAACGCCTGGATCTCAACGTCGATGGTCAAGTTTGGAGTGACTCCTTCTGGAATCGGGATGTCAGCTGGAAGGAAGTCGAATCCCGGCGTGTTGTAGAAGAGGCGGCAACAGGTGTCCACAGGCCAGTTGGCCGTCCCGATGTTGGCCAGAGTCCAGGTCAAGGTCTTCACCTCTCCCTGAAGTGCCTCCATGCTTCCATTTGGAGCCGCCAGGATGCCACAAAGCGGAGGAGGAGTCTCCTTCTTGCCCACACTGAAGGACATGAGCTCCCCGAAGGGCTGGCCGCAAGGTGTAACCAGACAGTAGTTTGCCTCCATGACCTGCTCCGAATCGTTCTTGACCTCCAAATCCAGCTCCAGCGTCTGGTTTGGGGAAGCCGAGGGCACCTCCAGGATCGGGCTCGCCAGCACCGGGCCGCCCACCAGGCGCAGGGTGGTGCCCGCCGGCCAGGGCACGGTGCCGTCGTTCGCGAGGACCCAGCGCACGCTGTCCCCCGGAGCCACCGGCGAGCCGGCGGTCGGACCCGCGAGAAGCTTGGAGCTCAGCATGGCGATGCGAGAAAATGCTGGGGGGAAATGCGAATGTCTCTGCTCGTGAGCCGAAGACTCCGGTGCCGGGGTTTACTGCCAGCATTTCACAGCATTTCACAGCCTTCATGTCCTGAAACTCCCACATCTCATAGGCTGATGCAGCACCTCCTGTTGAACTCCTCTTGGACGGAATCCAACTCCTTCCGCATCGATTTCACCTAAGGTTCGGGGTGCTCAAAGCCCTGCAGAGTGGCCTTGCTCTCTCGAACCTCATGCCTCCAAAGTGTCAGCCCGTCAGTCCGTGCTCTTGGAGTGCTCGTGCTTCCACTCGCACTCCCAATCTTTGCCAGGACTTTACCAAGGCACCTCGTTGCCCCATTCCTTTACCTGGGTCACTCAAGCTCAACTGCTGCTACTCTTTTCGAGCTACTGCTGGTCCGTCAGAAGCAAAGCAGCGTCCCGTGAGCGCTGTGCAAGGAGGGTTCTCCACCGGCAAGCGTCGCAGCATCAGCCAAAGCTCCAAAGTCACACCCGACAGAAGAATTCGAACCTTTTGCGATTCCGCTGCAGGCCCGTGGCTCGAGGCTCCCATTCTCGCGAGGAGCCCGCGCCCGAGAGGCCAAGTCGGAGCTGTACCTGACCATTTGTGTACATTCTGCGGTGCATGACCCCTCGGTGTGTGTGTGTGTGTGTGT